ATCTATCTGTCCTTTATCCATCTACTTAATCCATCTAATTTTTTGATGTATTTCAAAGTAAACTGGACAAGTGTGCTTTTCATTAACTACATAGGTATACATATCATAAAAGTGCAGTTTTTTTTTATAGCTTTTTCTAAATGTGAAAATTACACACATGAAATACAAAGTCTTAAGTGTTCATCTGCTGAATTTTGATTTTGTGTAGAGCTGCCCTAGGAGGTGTTTAAACTTCTTGGCTGACAGAATTGCAAGAACTTAACTTTCTTTTTATTGTCATTATTTCCAGAGAGGAAAGAGGAGTTCTTGGCTGCATTCTGTAACAATGTCCTGATTTTCTGGGGCAGTTCCAGTTTCACATATTTGATCCATTATTCCCCAACGCCATTGAAATGCAAAACCATTTTCTTTGAAAATTCAGTGAGTGAATTAAATGAATAAGTGCTATTATAGAAATGCATGTCACAAAATATGAAGAAGCAGAGTGAGGTAACCTTAGGCTTTCGAAAGCAGAAGTCCACCAGTCTGTGTAGTAGATTTTTTTAGTTATGTGTGGTTTGTTTGGTACTTTTCTAATAAAAAGCATGTGATGCCAAAGGTAACATAAAATTGATAGAGCAAAGCAGAATGTGTGTTATGAATGTAGTGCCTACTATGTGCCAAGTGCTGTTCCAGGTGCTGGGAATAGAGCAGTGAATTAAGACCAAGGTTTCTGTGCCCATGAAGCTTGCATTCATACTAAGTTGATTATTTTAGGGAGTAATGGCATTAACTATTTACATGTGCTATCGTACTTAGTTACTTTGCTGATAGGTTAGTGAGTTTTAATAGTTTTTCATTTATTATAATAACAAAAGTTAAAGATATAAAAGTAGTAGACAAAATAACAAAATAAACTCCCCATGGACGAATCATCCAAGTGGCAGTTATCAACTCATGGTCCATCTTGTTTTGTCTGTGCCTCCCCGAGTTTCTTTTCTCCCAGATTATTTTGAAGTAAATCCAAGATACCCTCTCTCTCTCTCTCTCTTTCTTTTTCTTTCTTTCTTTCTTTCTTTCTTTCTTTCTTTCTTTCTTTCTTTCTTTCTTTTCTTTCTTTTCTTTCTTTCTTTCTTTTCTTTCTTTTCTTTCTTTTCTTTCTTTTCTTTCTTTTCTTTCTTTTCTTTCTTTCTTTCTTTCGATTTTATTTATTTGACAGAGAGATAGAGAGCACAGATAGAGTGGCAGGCAGAGGGAGAGGGAGAAGCAGGCTTTCCGCTGAGCAGGGATCCCGATGCCGGGCTTGATCCCAGGACCCCAGGATCATGACCTGAACCAAAGGCAGACGCTTAACTGACTGAGCCACTCAGGCGCCCCCAAGATACCCTATTTCAAGTGCCAATAAGTATTTTAGTATATGTCTCTAAGTGATAAGGATGCTTAACAGGAGGAGCTTATATGTTAAAATTTTTCCTTTAAATGTTTTTCTGTTAGAATTTGTGCCGAGTATATTTTAATGACATTGGAAAAGAAATGTTTTTAAAGAAGTGTGCTAATCCTCGTAATTTGCCCCCAGTTAGGAGTGAGACTACACATTAGTGTGGAAAATTTGACATTTAAATATTGAATGAAACAAAATGGTGCTTTTACTTTCTGAAATGAAAGTATTTCTCATAAGAGGTAGTTCTACTAAATTGGAATTTATAGGAAATTAAGAAATAATTGCTTAATTTTGTAACAGAACATCACTATTTCAGATTTAAAAATTGCAAAACTAATTTGGTATGTATCTTAACCTGATGAGATTTTCATTAGCATAATCAAACTGAACAGTCCTTATTTCAGAAGCTCAGTAGGCCTAATGGTAGTAATTGTTTCACCCCTGAGATAGTGACCTATGAGAAAGTGTAAATTTCATTGACCTATAACTTCTCAAAGTATTTAAATTTATATGCAAGTTGTTGCTTTCTATATTCTTCCGGAACAGATCAGTGATTAAGGAAAATAGGCTTAAAATTTTTTTTTAATGAGTTACATGTACTTTTTTATTTCGGTCTGACTGATCATAAAACATTAATACTAATTTTGGAGGAGCAGATCTGATAGATTTTATGCATATTTTTGGAAATTCTAGTAACAGCCATGGAAAATTGATACATAGTGTAAATATGTAACAGTTGTATTAAGTTGATAACAGTCTGATCTTAATGGGATACTGTACATATTTTTCATAATGAACAGAAGCAATGAAAATTGATTTCATTGAGGTGAATTCAAATTTTATGTCCAAACTCAAGATTTGAAATATCTGCATTTTAAATAATAGAAATGTTTTGATTCTATTGAGTTCATTTTTAAGTTAATTAAAAATGATCCTGTTATCTTTAAAAATCTTTTAAGATATTCTTTAGAAGTCATGATTTTTATTTCTGGTTTGTATATAATGGTGCTATTGTTTTCCAAGGTATTTCTAAAATGGAGGCTCCAACCATATCAGTACCTGAAGCCTTGTGTCCTTCTGTTAGCATTTAGAAAGGAAAATTACGTTTGTAGCTCAATGTAAATTTGTACGAGAATTCAGGTGTTTCCAATCAGGTCTGGCATTGTAGGTAATATAAAATACTGTTTGAACTTTTTATAAACAAAGCTTTTGAAAAAAATTCTGAAATCTTTCCCTCCTATGATGGATTTAATTGGAAAGAAAAATCCTTGAATGGTATACCTGGATAAGATAGGAACTTTCTGATAATATAGTCTTGCTTTATCACAGACTCCTATAATCATCTTCATTTCCTTAAATCTTTTCATATAACTAGGGAGTTTTCTTTAAGAATAGATGCCTATAGGGGCGCCTGGGTGGCTCAGATGGTTAAGCGTCTGCCTCCAGCTCAGGTCATGATCTCAGGGTCCTGGAATTGAGTCCCACATCGGGCTTAGCAAGGAGCCTGCTTCTCCCTCTGCCTGCCACTCCCCCTGCTGGTACTCTCCCTCTCTCTCTCTCTGGCAAATAAATAAATAAAATCTTAAAAAAAAAAAAAAAGAATAGATGCCTATAGAGGTGAGATGGTATAAGGTACTTACATTTGAATATTTTCAAAACAAAGGAAATGTCGGTTTGAGCTTCATTGCTAGATACACTGTCTAACTCCTAACTGTCATTAGGAGTTTCTGTTGCTGATTAACAACTTTGGAATAATTGTTTTCATTTATTGTTTGGAAAAAACGATTTGTTAAATCTATGACCAAATGTGATTCGAGTTTTATTCTTTGAAAGTTTTACCATATGCATTTTACAATCTTAAAATCACTTTGAACAAAGGAAGAGGTTGCTTTGTAAAGTAATCTCTCTATTCATAAAAATGTTTAGACATGCATGCTTACCCCACTATCCCTCCAAATAAATATGTACAAATAAACAAGGATATTGTAGGATGGAATTTTATGGTTTCTTGGAATTGGAGAAATAAGTGATTCTAATTTTATGAATAACAAAGAAATTTTGATTTAGAAAATGATATAAATTATAAAATTGCTAATTTTGGTTTAATGTTGAATTTTTTTAGAGGCTCAATGGTTGCTTAGATTTAATTGAAATCTCTATTGAAAGACAGTTTTTACAAAACAGAGTCAGTGGGTTCATTTGTCTATTATATTTTATGTCAACATAACAAAATATGTGTTATAATTTAATATCTCAAATACTGAAGAAAGAAACCACCTTATAGGAAAAAATTAGGTAGATCCTTTTAGCTCTCAAATAGATATAACTATTGATTTTATTTTTTTCTCAGCACATTAATAAATTTGCTACCCATTGGGAAATTTGAATAGGACACAGTAATTTAATAATTGAATAGTTGTAGTTATTAACGCTAAGAAGTAATTTAAGGAAATAGATACTTTGAGGAATTGTGTTTCACCTAGACTTGAAAAAGGTAATCCAAACAGCAAACATTTTTGAGCACTTAGTGTGTCCTACACATTGTTCTAAATGCTTTACAATGTTTTTCATTTAGTCTTCACAGCAACTCCTGAGGTAGGTATTAGTATTAATCTATTGTACAGATAATGAAACTGAGACATAAAGATGGTATAGTAATGCCCTGAATGTTGGGCTTTATTTTTTTATTTTGTCAAATCAGTTAACTTAAATTGATCGTGTCTTATACTTTGATAGCATTCTAATTTCTTTCACATATATTTCATCTGATATTGGTAGAAAGACATACCGTGAATGCTCAAGCCCAGATTATTTACAAATACATGTTCTGTAGCTCTCTAGTTCTTACTGTTGATAATCATCTTTTTGTTCAGTTATTTTACAGCAGCTACTAACCCAAGAGAGGTATTCTTCTCCTTCTGTCCAATTTCCCAACCCCACAAAAAAATCCATTTAGTTGCTAAAACTTTAAAATATTAACAACATACTACTTGGAAAATCAGTTCAAATTTTATATCAGGTTTTATTTTGCTTCCAGACTTGTGAAATCAAAGGCTCTCTTCTCTCCAGTGCTTCTGGAAAAAATAGCAGAATGTTTCCTCTTGATGGTTCTAGCTCAGTATTACCTCCCTGTTTGCTGTTCCTTATGTGTGAAGATTTTGTATTTCTTCAAAACAGTATAGTTCAAACACAGTAGACTAAAGATGTGTGCTATCTTAAATGGTTTTGTTTCTAAAATTCTTAGGCAATTAGGATTAGAGCTACTGTAACATTCTTTCTGTAGTTTATTTTTTATTAAAACAATAACATTCTATTTTTTCTTTTATTTATGATTGGTTTTTAGCATTGCAGCTTGTTATTTTAAACACCTGGCTTTCTTCATTGAACAGTTTTATTTCCTTTAATCCATGTGAAAACCTTGCTATTAGTTATATTCATGTTATTTCATTAATGCATTTTTGTTTGTTTATACATTTACTCTATTTGATTAAGGATAAGAACTCCTGTACTTTTTAAAAACCTTTCCAAAACCAAATAGAGAAATTAGTGATTTTTATATATTTCTTTTTGTCTGTTTTAGGATGGCTACCATAGAGTAGTTAATATTGTGCCAAAGAAACCATCACTGCTAGACAGACCTGGTGAAGGAAGCTACAGTAGATATTACAGTCATGTTGATTACCAAGAATATGACGAGGGCCGCAGTTTTTCTCATGATCGAAGAAGTGGTCCACCTCACAGAGGAGTATGTAAATTTCCCCCGTGTACTAATTGTTATTTTTTATAAGTTTAAAAATCATGTAATTTTTGAAATTTATGTGACTGGCCATGAAGGCAGTTGAATAAACACTTCCTGCTTGATGCTCTATTGAGTTGCCTGCTAGAGCTGTCAAATGGGAACTGGTAGTGGAGAATCTTGGGACAAAGTGGGTAAGCCACTCTGGGTAGCTCTATCTAAGTGACATTAATTCCAACTAGCCTGTGTTTTTATCCCCGAAATTGGCAAGAATTTGCAGAAGCAGATAAAGATAATCTACATTGCCTTGGTACTCAGTAAGTGATGAGCAGCAGGTGGTTACCATCTCTTACTGGATGTATCCACTTATAATTACTTTGATTATTTTCATCATGATGAGATGCTGTGGGTGAGGTTGGGTTACAGTTGAGCTTCAGTCTCATTTTTGTTATACTTATTAAAGTTTACTTAGTAACTCAAAGTAGAAAGCTCTCAAAACACTGCCTGTCCTATATAAAATAGACACCTTTTAAATGTTAGCTTCTATTATTACCATTATTTTTGCTGTTGTATTTTGTTTTTCTTGATCATCTTTAATAATCTAGAAGTATGTATTTAATGTTGGCAATAATTTGTCATTGAACTTGATTACAACTATTCCTTGATGCAATTCCTTTGTCTTAGCTTGTGTGTTTATATTACTCCTCTGCTAGACTGTTTACTTATATTTTTCTCTTTTCCCCTTCCCTACTATATAATATTGCAATTAACAGTACATATTCAAACATTGTTTATATTAAAATTTGACCTCACATGGGCTGTTGGAATTACTTTCCATACTTTACCCTCAAAGAAATGGAGGTAAGGTGATTTACCCAGGGTTGGGTATGTATGGAAGTCCAGTTCTCTTACTACTGCATCATGGTGATCCTTGACAATTCTAAAGTAGTAATGAGACTATTCAGTGTTTTCTTGTCATTTTAAAGTTTGGGGTGCATAGCTTCCTTCTCATAGAATGGATTTTTGTTTTGTTCAATTTTTAAATATCTTGCTGTTCCTTTAGGGGGAGGAATTTGGTGTTGAAAAGTAAACATTGTACATTATCACTATTGTAGAAATACTGGATTCTGCCTTCGGAGCTATTATTCCAGGTAGTCTGAGAAACAAAAAAAATTGGCCTTTACATAAAGTTGTTATCCCTCTTAGGAAAACCAAAGGTGGCCATTTAATGTGGATAGGGAATTTTGGATTCATTGGATCAATTTGTATTTGAATCCTCATGAATATGATTTTTCCCCTAAAACCTTGTAGCATCAACATTAGTTTTTTGTTACAAGTTGTGTTTATTATACTTTATATAACATTTTTTCTTTATATTCACTTCAAACAAAATAAGTCCATTTGATATCCTTAGGACTTTTGTGACACTAATTTATCTTGAGTTCAGTTATATAAAGAAAACTACTTATTTGATCTAATATCTTATAGCTGTTGAGTTTTTTCTTTGGTTTGTTTATATTTATTGTTGGGGAGGAAAGTGATGAATACATTACTCTTATGTTAGAGTATATGATGCTAAAGAGGAAGATGAAGATAGTATTTATTTTACCTGAATTAGTATTTCTGATTGTGAATAATTAACATTGTTGTATTGTTAATTCTTGTTTTATATTGTTCTATATATAATTTTAAAGCAATTGGGCATGAATTACTATGTTTTTTTTTAATGTACCTTTTCAAATGTATCTGTTTTAGAGGACAAAATATGCTTTTTTTCATTAATTTTAAACTTAGTGTCACATCTTGCTCTAATATAGCTTATCGGTAGGTGATAGCTTCTTCTTATATTGTTTCCAATTATAGGTTTAAATGAGAATCAAGATGAGAAAAGAAAACTTGAACAAGAAAAGTGGGAAAGTAAATTTTTTTTTTTAAAGATTTTATTTATTTATTTGACAGAGAGAGATACAGCAAGAGAGGGAATACAGGCAGGGGGAGTGGCAGAGGGAGAAGCAGGCTTCCTGCTGAGCAGGGAGCCCGATGCGGGGGCTCCATCCCAGGACCCTGGGATCATGACCTGAGCTGAAGGCAGACGCCTAACGACTGAGCCAACCAGGCACCCCAGGGAAAGTAAATTCTTCATTGGGCTTGAATTTGAAAATTGGTGATAGAACTTGACAGAACGAAAATAAAATGAAAGGTCGAGAAATGTATGCTTGATTAAATTTAAATTGGGCCTTTGTTCTTCTAATGGTCCTTAGCTGTTGTGATGTTGGCATGTTTTTGGCAATAAGGCTGTTAGGGCCTACCAAAGAAATACCTTAAGCATTTTCATAGAGCTAAATCGTACCACAGGTTCTCGGTCTACTAAATTGCTTGTTGAAATGGATGACTTGCTATATCTTTTTCCCCCCTTTTTTATGCCCTTGAAGCTCAGAGAAATTTAGAAAGGTGTTTTTGTCCTCATATAATTTTGGTCTTAGAGATGTTTCCAGTAGTACTGATATATCCTACTCGACCAAAATAATGTAAACAAGTATCTAAATAACTTTTTTATTTTACAGGATGAATCTGGCTATAGGTGGACAAGAGATGATCATTCTGCAAGTCGACAGCCTGAGTACAGGTAAAATGATGAACATAGTACCATAACTACTTTGATACTTGATTCACTGAGATGTCTGCTGTTGAAATCTAATCTCAAGGCTCGTAGATGAAATATTTATTAGGATTTATAATTTTGAGAGCAACAAACATTTTTATGACTAATATAACAGCACTAATAGCATTCTGTATCTATTGGCATTTTGAAAACTGATAATAAAAAAATAATATTCTCATCAAATTAATTAATAAATTATTCCTAACGTGTAATGTGGATTATAAGGTATCTGCTTAATTAGAAGGTTAAGGCTTTTTTTCCCCTTCAGAATATTTGAGTCATTACAGAGTGTCCCTTATTAACATATTTTGGAAGAACTTTAGTCATTGTTAGCCTTGGTTGCTTACAGAGGCATCTGATAGAATAGTTAGGGGGGAAGAAAAGATGGACATATTTAATCACGTTTGTTTTATTTTTATTTTTTAGGTTATTTATTAGAGCGAACAAGCACGGGGGAGGGTTTGAGGGAGAAGGAGAGGGAGAAGCAGACTCCCCGCTGAGCAGGAAGCCCGATGCTGGGCTTGATCCCAGAACCTTGGGATCATGATCTGAACCATCCAGGCACCCCTCAAGTTTGTTTGTTTGTTTGTTTGTTTTTTTAATGACTTTACAAAGGAAATAGTAGAAGTTATAAAAGGAGCTTTTTAAAGATCTTCTGTGGAGGCGCCTGGGTGGCTCAGTCGGTTAAGCTTCTGACTCTTGATTTTGGCTCAGGTCATGATCTCAGGGTTGTGATATCGAGCCTCACGGAGAATCAGGCTCTGTGCTCAGCGGGGAATCTGCTTGGGATTCTTTCTTTTTCTTTTTCCCTCTCCCTCTACCACTCCCACTCCCCCTCCTCCTCTAAAGAAAAGATTTCTTACAACTCTCAGAGAATAACCTATATACAAGGGAAAGTAGTCAACTGCTACAACTCTCTCGGTGCCAGAAGTAGACAACAGGATTCAGTGGATCAGAGCAAGGCAGCTGATTCCGCACAGCACCTCAGTCATCAGGGACGTCAGCGTGGTAGTCCCGGTTCCCTGCCCCCAAGTTCCATAGGGTGATGTGATGGGCGGAGATGGTGCCTGGGCATACAGTAGGATGCACTGCAGCTGAAGAACACAGGGTCAAGAGCTTGCTACTTTTTTGTAGTAAGCAGGAAGCAAGCAGGCCAGTCCTTCTTTCATTAAGAGTGAGCAGTCACACAGTAGTTATGCTGTGGTCACCTTGACCTATTTAATTATCTGTATGACCAGCTACAGAAATTGTTCAACGTCAGTGGTTGGCAAGGTCTTACAATTTGGAATACACAGCAGGGATGTGCAGGGATGCACTCATGGAGGGCTGCCTTCCCAAAAGAAGTAATAAAGAGATGCTGAAAAATACTTTTTTTTTTTTAAAGATTTTATTTATTTATTTGACACAGAGAGAGTGAGAGAGAGAGCATAAGCAGGGGGTAGTGGCAGGCAGGCAGAGGGAGAGGGAGAAGCAGGCTCTCTACTGAGCAAGGAGCCTGATGCGGGACTTGATCCCAGGACCCTGGGATCATGACCTGAGCCAAAGGCAGCCATTTAACCAACTGAGCCACCCAGGCGCCCCTGAAAAATACTTTAATAAAATTTAATTACTGTGTTAAACATAACACAGTAAGTTTTAGACAGCTAGGAATACAAGAGAATTTCCTTTATCTGATAAATGGGTATTTGCTATACTGAATGGCAGAGTTAGAAGCATTTACTTTAAAATCAGAACAAAGCAAAGATGCCTGTTATCACTGCTTCTATTCATCCTGGTAATGGAGGTCTCAGCCTCCACAGTAAGACAAGAAAAATAAAGTAGTAAGGGATAGAATGAAAGAAAGCTATTTACAGATGATAAATTACGTAGAAAATCCAAGAGAGTCTATAGACTTATTAGAACTGTTTAGTTCTAATAAAAATAAAAAGTTTTTAATAAAAAAATAAAAGTTTAGTATAATGAAATCAGCTGTTAGCATAAGTTAGAAAATGTAATTTAAAAATATTTTCTATAGCATAAAAACTAAAGGAGTAATGGGAATAAATCTAACTAAAGTGTGTGAGACTTATGTAGATGGAATTGCAAGTCATTTCTAAGGGACTTAAAAAGACCTGAGTAAAAGGAGCAACATATATGTGACATCCTTGGCTGGGAAGAGACAGTATCATGAAGATGTCAATTCTCAAATTCACGTGTTCATTCAGTTTGGTTCCAGTCTGAATTCTAGGATTTTTCTCTATGGAAGTTGGCAAGCTGTTTCTAAAATTACGATGAAGGAGTAAAGGGCCAAATGGCAAAAGTATCCTTGAAAAAGATGTGAAGACTCAATATACTATCTATCAAAACTTACCAAACTATAGTAATGTAAACGGTGAAAAAGGTAGGGAGTCTAGAAACAAACCTAGATATACCCAGGAGTTTGGGATATAGCAACAGAGGCACTACAAATCAAATGGGGGAAAGAACGAACTTCTCAGTAAAGTGTTGGAATAAATGGCTATCTATTTGAGAAAAAAAGTGACCTGGTGTATCAAAATATCTGGTATAATAAAGACCTAAATATGAAAAGCATAAGTGTAAGAAAACTCTTGATTAGATTAGCCAGTGGTTTATATTCACTCCAAAGGAACAGTTAGTTCTCAGGTTGATTTTAATTTGTTTCAATTTTTAAAATAATAGTTTGTTTCTGGGCGCCTGGGTGGCTCAGTTGGTTGAGCGACTGCCTTCGGCTCAGGTCATGATCCTGGAGTCCCGGGATCGAGTCCCGCATCGGGCTCCCTGCTCAGCAGGGAGTCTGCTTCTCCCTCTGACCCTCTTCCCTCTCGTGCTCTCTGTCTCTCACTCTCTCTCTCAAATAAATAAATAAAATCTTTAAAAAAAAAAATAATAGTTTGTTTCTATCTTTGTTCTCCCTTCCTATCTTTTTTTAGCACTTTATTATTTTCCTGTGTGTGTATATAATTTTACATAAATGAAATAAAATCATATGGGACTCCCTGTTTCCCACATTCATGTTAACAGCTGGGTGTATGTTCTACTATATTTTTCTCTATATTCATAAACATTTGGGGTATTTGTTGTTAATGAGATATTATACTGTAAGTTGCTTTTCTCATTCAGTGGCTTGTGGAAATCCCTCCCGGTTATTTGGTTTAATTTTTACTTGAATCTTTTTAATGGCTAAGTTATCCATCATGTGGATATACCAAATAATTTAGCTGTTCACCTATTGATGAATATCCACTCTGTTTCCAGTACAGAACGGTGTTGTAATAAGTGTGAGTATATGATGTCATTATGAAACAGTACTTTAGTTTCTATGGGATAGATTGCCAAAAGTGGAATTTCTGGGTCACAGGACAGTTTAATAGATATTTTCAGTTTGTCTTCTAAAAGGCTTGTAACACTTACGTTTCAATTTTTGAAAAAAATCTAACATTTTAATTTGGATAAAGTAGTTTATTTTTCTTTCCATCTTATTTGAGTATAAGTAGAGTTTTGAAATTTCTTTTAAGAATTGCTATAACTGTATCCCATAGATTCTTATAGATAGCAACTTTTTATTTTTTAAGTAGGCTCCATGCCTGGTGTGGAGCCCACCGTGGGGCTCGAACTCATGACCCTGAGGTCAAGAGTCAGACATTGAACTGACTGAGCCACCCAGGCGCCCCTGATAGATGGCAATTTTATACTGATTCCAACACAGTGTATTTTAGTTACTCTGTGATCACAGAGCGATGTCTGTACTCGTACTCTGCTTGGAATTTTTTGGTATAGAATTCATTCTGTATGGTATATTCATTCATTTGATAAATATTTATTGGGTGACTGGGTACATGTCCGTTATTCTTCTAGCATCTGGGGATAAAAAGGTTCTGCTCTCATTAGCCTACATTTTAGTATGAATTGTACATCATAAACAGATAAAAAACAAAACATTTTTTATGAAGAAAAATGAAATGGTAGTGGTGTAGAAGGGGCTTCTTCCACATCTTCTATACCTACACTTGATGTCTGGGCGTCCTCAGTGACATTTCAGGTATTCGGTTATCACAGAAGCTAATGCTTTTCCAGGCTAGCATCTTTCTGGCTGTAGTTTGTTCCCTATTACGTGATCTCACTGAAGACTTTGTGAATAGAAAATAACTGTTTGTTTTAGGGAGGAAAAAGTCATTGCTTTGTAACCCATGCAGAGAATACTTGTATGTATTGGTAAGCGAATAAGGTTCTGAGTATTTAGGAAAACTATGCCAACTAGTGTTTTTGTTTTTATTGGGGTGTACATGATAACTCTTTATATTGTGGAAAGAAAACATCAGACTTTTTAAAACATTTTATTTGATACAGTTTTTAAATTTATAGAAAAGTGGCGAGAATAATATAAAAAACTAGAGACCCCAGTAATGTCTCCCACAATGCCCCGATAGTGTGTTTTATGGCAAAAAGATCTGCTCTGAATTCATAGATCATATTTTTGTAGACTTCCTTAATCTGGAACAGTTCTTCAGTCCATTCCTTGATTTTTGTGGCTCACTGTTTTAGGCAAGATGAACACAGGGCAAACATTTTGTAGACTTTCTCAATTTAGGTTTGTCTGATGTTCATGATTAGATTTCAGTTATGCATTTGTGCCAGTACAATCCCTGAAGTGATGCTGTATTCTTTTTATTGCATCCTATTAGCTTGCACGTGTTGTTGATTTGTTCCCTTATTGGTGGTGTTGACTTTTATCGCTTGACTAAGATGGGGTCTGCAAAATTTCTTCTCTGTGAAGTTGGCCTCTTCCTTTCCCTGACATTAGTGTTTTGTTGGGGAGATACTTTGAAACTGTGCAAGTATGCCATTCTTCATCCCATTTTCATCCACTAGTTCTAGTATTCATTGGTGTTTCTTGCTTGAATTATCAATATAATTGTTTGTAATGGTGATTTTGTAATTAGACTGTTCTTTCTGTATTTATTATG